CCTCTTCTTTGCCTTGAAAGAAACATACCCCCTCCCACTCGTAACATTCAAACTGCCGCCGTTCACCGTGGGGCAACCCACCCGCCATCGCTAAGAAAAAGCTTTCGTAAATGACGCCGGCAGAGCCAAACCGAGTTTTAGTAACTGCCCATAATTCTGATCCCAAATGCCTGCAAAATAAAATGTCACTGTTACTGTTTCAAAACGCCTCCATTTTCTTTACCGAATACTACATACTTACTGATCAGTCTGTTAACAAAACAAAAATACCAAGATCGCTTGGACAATCGGGATGGCGACCACGTACCGCTATGCTACTGGAATACGTTTACACGCCGAAAGCAACAGTGCCGGACCCTTCGACCTTGAGCTCAATACCTTTAACCAGAGACAGCACAGCAAAAATTAAGAATCTAATGATTATGGCATTTCCTCATTTTTGAGGATGCTAACCTTGAAATTCTTCCAGGATGTAACGTACAATTTTTCCATCTTTCTTCTTAAGCCTTGAAAAAGCGAACCGTCATCAATTTTCATCGCTTGGCCCATTGAGAACTGCTCATTGTCGACCAACCGTAACGATGCGCATTCGCAATGCTGCAGAAAAACTAGGCATACAAATGTTATTCGTTTTTCCTTAATATCCGTGAGACGAAAGGAAGAATGAAAAAACTGCCTGTTTTAGCAGTAGCAGGAAGGGAACCAGCGATGCAACAGTGGTTCACTGAAGTGGGAATTAGGGGCCAAGCCGAGGGAAAGTAACTGCCAGAATTTGTATTTCACAGCAACGAATTAGTGTCGTATCAGAAGACTGAAAAAAAAGGTGTAAAAAAAGGAAGGAAAACCTGTCTTGCAACTTCACGAAAAAAGTTGACGCCATGCCGGAATGTTGGAAATATGAGAGAACCATACTTTTTCACTTCAGGTTTCGGGAATATTTTTATCGTTGCTTCCGTAACTACTCCGAGGATCCCCTCGGAACCAAGTACTACTTGATGTAAATCTGGACCACTGGACATTCGGGGAACCTGTAGGAAAAAAACTGCGCTTCCAATGAGTTACAGTACCATCAACGCAAATTTTAAATACAAGTTGGAAAAAAGCAATGTACATAATTTTCCTGCTTAATTTACTAATATAACTGTTTCCATAGACCCCAACACACCGCTTTTTCCAATTTGTTACTGTTACACTGAAGAAAAAAGGACGAAAGCTGACAGGGGAGCTAAATACACATGTTAGCAGCGCAGAGAAAACGCCACATCTAATAGTTTCTTCTGAAAAAGGAAGAAAGCCGACGAAGACTGCCATAATCTCCAGCAGGATAGCTTCAAAATATGCTATTCATATAGAATAGTATATTAAAAACGGGTGAAATAAGAATCAAAAAGGAAGGTGGGAAATTTGGGTTAAGAAATTAGTGTAAAATTGTTATAATAGTTAGAAATGTTCCGGACCATTAAGTCGCATACAGTTCTTACCATTCTTATAGCACATTTTGATTTTTATGCAAAATTTATGCAAAAAGGATATTTAAAAAAGCTGAAAAAAGTCTGACTTGGCACTGCCTGCGGATATATCCTTGTGGTGTAATTAAGGTAACATGGACTAGCAAATCCTCAATATTTCCATATTTATTTTTCTTCATTCCTGAAAGCATTGCATTTATAAAAAGGTGAAATCAAAAAAATCTCAAAAAATCATAATGTTTGAGATCAAAAATGACAAAGAAATCCAAAAAAACGCTTATGGCATCCACTACCC